TCCGGTGTTTGTCCGGTGTTTGTCCGGTGTTTGTCCGGTGTTTGTCCAGTGTTTGTCCAGTGTTTGTCCAGTGTTTGTCCAGCGTTTGTCCAGTGTTTGCCCAGTGTTTGTCCAGTGGCTCCGATTGATTTTCCTTATGTCCTCATGTTCAGAATCACTTGCTTTTCTCCCATAGACACCTCTTGTCTTCATGTTGGTGTGTCCTCTTTAACGAGAAATACCTCGTTCACAGGTTTAAACACAGGCCAGAAAGAGAGAGTCTGTGAGGTCTTTGGAACAAGACATTCAAGTGGTAAGAGTTCCACTGTGGAGAGCAGAGGTACCGGTAGTTCATTCTTTGTGTCTGAGGCAGCGCAGTGTAGTGAACTAAGCCTCAGGTCAAATCTGGCCCTGAGGGCCTTCCTGAGACAAGAACTGTAATTTCATTGATTTGAGTCCAGAAACACAAAATTAAGTTCATCCAGAGACTTTCTAAGTGTGTCCTGCACTGATCAATTGAAAGAACACTCTCTTTTTTATTATCATTACTATTTTACAAATGTCTTGATAATCAAAGTGTGTTTAGTTCAAACCATTTTAAATGTTGAAGTGAACTACTAATTTTAAATCAACTGTGAAACAGTATAAATGATTTTTAATCCTCATTCAAAGTAGAAATCAAGTTAATGTTTGTTACAAGAGTAATTATGCATTTTGATTTTCTGTCTGAAATGAGCAGGTTGTAAGTCGGTCAAAAGTCAAGTTTCGGTCAACTACATGTTTACTAGAAAGAAATGTCATGTTTAACTTTTTCAGACAGATATGAGGGAACTGGCTCCAAAAGTCTCTGTTTCTTCAAAACATCTTTCTGTCTGTTCTTAAACAATCTAATCTTTTTCCTTGACTTTTAATAACCTCTTACATCACTAAGACCACACCCCTGTTGGGTCTATCGACCAATCAGGAAGTTCTCAGAGGAACCGGAACTGAACTCTTTAAAAGGGTCAACACTTCCTAGTTCTCGGAGAGCAGCAGAGTTCAGAATGCTAGAGTTCAGAATGCTGGAGAACAACGGGAACTAAGCTGAACAACGTTCCAGGGAGGACCTCGAACGAGAAGTCCCTGAATGAGAGAAGTTCAGAGGAACAATGAAGAAGTCTGTTCTGGGATGATCTCACGACTCCTGAGGTTTTAGCTGTTCTTACGGAGACGCTGGAAAGAGTTGAAAGGAAACTCTACACCGACGCCGAAGCTATCATCTGCAAAGGTAAAGAGTCGATCTCAACCAAAGTGTACCGTGGGATAAGCTGGTTCCAAAGGAGCGTGTCGTTCTGGTCTACAGACCTACATCTTATACAGACACATACATCTTCACCCATCTCTCTCCATTTAAACTCCTTCATTTCCCATCTTTAAAACTCTTCTATCTGCCAGTAATTAATCCAGATATTTTCAGAAATGTCTGTTGTAAAGCTTGAAGCTGGAAACCATGGCCGTATGGTTTCTGATTGTAAAGCTAATTAATTATGTGTTATTGTAATCAATTTGCCAAATTAATGTAAATGTTTGATGTTAAACTTTGATTCTGTTAATAAATGACCGCATTCATTTTGATGGGTCAAAGAAAATTGACGTCTCACGTCACATTTAATCATTCAATGCACGATAGAACTCAGTCCAGAAAAATGAAAGAATCCGTTTAATTTATGGATAATATCTCACAGATATATGTTCATTTACATCTGGTGGCCTCGTACGGTATCATAAATGGACTGTTATTTGTGTAAAAACTGACTGTTGGCATG